CTCCTGGCCCCTGATAGCTAGCGCAACGTCCACGTCTATCCCTTCAAGAAGTCTGTGTGTGCAGCCCGCCTCGATGGGTATCTGGTGAATCTCATTTGTCTAGCCTGCCGTCGGACCAGAACCCGGGAATGAGGTGGCAAGGAAATGCACGATCTCATCTGATCACTCCGCAATCTGGGGCTTGGCGTAGAGCTTTGGGATAGCGATGTGCGCCTCACGTAGCCATTGCCAACCTTGACTTTTGCCTTGGATGCTGTTCCCCTGGCGAATCGGATATTCAGCGTTCACCAATAGAGGCTTCAACTTCTTACCGTCGGCACCAGCATTCGTAAGCTCAATACCTGCTATCGCGACTGCGAGCTCATCTTGTACTGTGGATATAAAACGTCCATGCCGCTGCCGGGGCCAAGGGATTGTCCAGAGCAATTCGCTCGGCCTGGTCAGCAAGAGCAGAATGTATTGACCAATACATTGGCCTCCGGAGGGGGCCTGGAGGCGGCACAGCAAGATTCCGTCGTAACCGAACACATGTAGTGCTGAACTCCGTAACCCTTGTCCACCAGCCTGAGCAGAACAGGGCGGTGCGCCTTCTCCTGCGCCAACTGGACTGGACCTGCACACATTCGTATCCTCTCAGAGCCACGTGATTCACGCAGAAGTGACCTATCGTACTACACCCCGTGCCTCCTCGGAGTGTGATTTGATCAAGTATGGCTAGAAGAAGAGGCGAAAACATCGGGAACTCAGACTCCTCCAAGTCAGGCCCTGTCATGTTCTAGTCGCCGCCGATATTACGAGGCGCTGCGGCTTGAGACATGATGCGGCCAGCTGCTGCGCGAGAGGAGAAGGAGAAGGAGGAGGACGGGGAGAACGGGGAGGACGGGGAGGACGGGGAGGAGGAGGAGGAGGAGGAGGAGGAGGAGGAGGAGGAGGAAGCAAGCAGGTGGAGGGCAAGCCCTGGACAAGCAGGACCTTCCGGATTGAGAGATGCTCGAGCGTCCCGGCTGCAGCCTGCATGAAGTGCGCGAGCGTCCCGGTGGACCAGTGTCCCGGCGGGCAGCGGTCCACCGGTGGGCCCGTGTCCGCACGAGTCTCCCGGTGGACCCCGTGTCTCCGTCCCCGCGGCCCCGCGGCCCCGCGGCCCCGAGGGGAGCTCTCCCCGATGGCAGGGCAAGGGCGCGCGCCGCCCGTCTCCCGGGGCCTCCTCGCCTCGCGCCGCTGCCGAGGCGCCGCCGCCGCGCTCCCCCGTGGGCCCCCAAGGACGAGGAGGGGGCGGGGGCGGCTAGGAGGGCAGCGCCCGCGAGGCCGAGGGGGGATGACGACGACAAGGGCAGCACGGAGGAGAGGGAAAAGGAGTCGGGGAGACGTAAGGCTCGGGTTCGGGAGGCTCGGACTGGCCCGACGGGGCCATCATGAAACTTACGCGGTCCAGTCTGACATATGATGCGGGCTCCCGCTGCAGACATCCCACGAAAACCGGACCGTCAAAATTCAGGACGGGCTCGTCAAAAAGCGTAGGCGAACCCGAGTTCCAGCGTTCTCGAGTCTTACGTTTCCCCAAAGGAGGACGGCGATGATCAGGACGACGTGGACGAAGCCGATGACGACGTCGACAACGACGACGACCCCACGCCTGGCCAAAGGGCGAGGACGGCCGCGAACGGCACGGCACGAGAGCGGCACGCGGGTAGGAGCCCCCCAGTCCCTCCCACACCCGGGCACTGATGAATCCCCGTGCCCGTCCTCGAGGAGGGGGTAGAAATAAAAGCGACACCATGATGGGACGCCCATGGGCATACTATAGTACAAAAAGTCCTCCTTGGAGGCGCGCGTCCGACCCGAACATATAGTACACCCGTCTTGTAGGATATCGTTTCCCGAGCGGTGTGGCCAGAAAGCGCCGGCCACGACGCATGGACTAGAAGATTTCTCGGTTCGCACGCCGCCCCTGGGGGGGCGGCGCAAACACAGTATTAGAAGATTGGGGTGACGCCGACATGGTGATCAGTGCTTGCACTGAAGGGGCCCTAGCGGGTATTAAAGGATTTGGCGGAAGTTTTTGGCCGACTTCGGTAGGCGGCCAAGTTCTCAAATTCCCGGTTCCGGGTTCCCAGATTCCTGGTTCCGGGCCGATTTCGGTGGGTGGCGGGGTTCCCGGGTTCTCGGGTTCCTGGTCGATCTTCTCACCGATAGGTCTGACCATCGATCTCTCTTTCGATCTCACGATCGCTCTCACAATCGATCGCACTACCGATCTCACAAAGGATCTCACTGTAGATAGCACGAGCGATTTCACGATCGATCTCAATATCGATCTCAATGAGTCGACTTCACGATCGGTCTCACGATCGACCTTACAATCGTCCTCCCTATCGATCCCACTATCGGTCTCACAATCGATCTCAGTATTCATATCACTGGTTTTCCAAACCTTCCGCTCATTGGGGTCATTTTCTTTTTGTGCTAGGACATGCTGGAGCGTCCGTGCACATGCCTGAGCCTCGAGCATGAGAGGCTATGGAACGGAGAGCTGCGCCACCTAGCCTCGGGAACCGGCCGATGCTCCACATGGGCCCGAACATGGTGTCCAATCTGTTATTTTGGTCGGTTCCCGAGGTGTCCATTTCGAGGCGGGCCCCTAGGCGACAAACTAAAAACTTGCAATGGCCCTGCGTGAGGATGTGGTGGATGCAAGGCTCAATAGGGGGTTAGCGTGCAGGGGGCAGACGTAACCACACAACTAAGCATCGCATGGGGAGCTGCGGGCTGGGGGCTGGGACGGGCTTCAAGCACCAACTCAACTCTCTCAGCCCCCTTCATCTTATCCACCTCCTCCTGGAGCACTTGTGACGTGGGCAAGCAGCAGGAAGGGGGCGGAGGAGGAGGAGGAGGAGAAGGAGGAGGAGGAGGAGGTTCGTGGCCTCAGACTATCTTAGGCGGCCACCGCCAAAGACAACCTGACAGTTCATGACGGCTTCCAGCATGGCCCGAGCGTGGCCCAAAGATGGCGCTCTGCCATTGCGTTTCCGTTGGCGTCGCGCGCGGGACCTATATGAGGATCGAACAAAAATCGAGAACAAACCGAAATGAGGATCGAGAAAAAAGGAGGCCCTAAATGAGGATCGAGAAACAAGGAGGCCCCATTGGTGGGTGACCTAGATGAGGATCGACAAATAAAAATGCCCTCAAGGGGGCCGATAAGGGCCCCCCTGTGGGCTCCTGCTGGCTCCAAAGGCGGGCCCTAGGAGGGCCCCGTTCGGGCCCCCTCTCTTCACCCCCCCCATTTGGGTCGCCCTCCATTCCCATTTCATTGGGGAAGGAGGGCGACCCTAATGGGTCGCCCTCCATTCCCATTTCATTTGGGTCGCCCTCCATTCCCACTTGGGTCGCCACTCTTCGCCCCCCCCCCTTTGGGTCGCCCATTTGGGTCGCCCTCCATTCCCATTTGGGTCGCCCCCCATCTGGGTCGCCCTCCATTACCACCCGCCCGAGTTTCAGCATTCCCAGCTTGAGGGGGCGCTGGGACACATCAAAACATAGACACAGATAACCAGATTCCTCATATTTTACCATGTTTTCTGGATTCTAATCTCCCCCCCGCTTGCCATAATTTCCAATGTTTTCCATGGCATCGACGATTAATTGTGTCTGTGTGTTCTTTCCCTCCTGACAACTCTCTGGCACAAACAGCTCCGCGATCCGTCCCGGAGAAGCGCGGCCAACCCCTCGCGCCCGCGTGCCCCCCCTTGGAGAAGGCGGGCAGCGCCTCCCGCCCAGAGCACGAGGCGCGATCCCCTTCAGGGAGCCCACAACTGGCCATCGCTCGGACGTCCATTCCCTTTGTTTCTTTCGCTTTCGTGCGTGATTTTTGTCGCAGGATGATCCAGGATGCTCCTTAATAATACCCGTCAGGAAAAAAGTGCACACGTCCGCGCGATACCGAGACGAAGGGGCGTGCGCGCCCGCTCACGTCCGTGAGCACGGCCCCCCAGTCAGCGAGACCGGCCGCGCGGCACGACGGGTCGATCAAAGCGCGCTATCGAAGCCAACGTAGAGTCATGTACGTGCACTGCCTTCCTTCGCTCCTGACCAGCACGCGGGGCGCAGTGCCCTTGGCGCCCCAGCGGGCTGGCCGCCTCGGCTGCACGCAACGAGTGACTCGGGGCAAGAGCGACCTCTGGTGCGGAGTTCTCGGGGTGCGCGGGGAGAGCAAACCCGAGCGCGCCACCCGCCGCGATCGCATCGCGTCCAGCTACCTGCGGGCCCCAATGTGCCCGCACCACAGGCCACTCTGGCGACAGGCCACTCTTACGTAGGAGGCGCGCCGGGGGGGGGGAAGTGAGAAGGGACGGGTCGTCTCAGGAGGCTCGGAGGTCCCCCGGCTGTCTGAGAAGTTTTCTGAGCCTTCCCCGAAGACAACATAAAAACGCTCGGAAGGCGCGGGGGCTTGAGAGACGCCCCGCCGCCTTCTGAGAAGGCCTTCTCCGTCTCCCTCCCCCCCCCCTTGCTCGCCGCCGACTTGCATGCATCGGGAGCGGCCAAGAGGGGGGTGTCCAAGAGGGGGGGTGCAGATCATGACCGGCGGCATGTGCGCGGCCCAGCGGGGGGGCCGGGGACGTAATGGAACAAGAAGAGGCGCCATGAAATTTGGGGAGATATCATGCCCCCGCCATGATATCCACCCCCCTAGTCATCACCCCCCTCTTTTCCGCCCCCCCCTTGCTCGCCGCCGACTTACATGCAGCTTACCAGCCTGGAACAGATCCCTATCCCTATGCCGGGCACCTCCTCATCACGATGCCAATCTTAGGGGCTCCCTTCTTTTTTGAGGGCGCATCCCGAAAATTGCCATCCCCTCTTGGCGTGTCAATCTTAGGGATAGGGATACGTTCGAGGCTGGTCATGCTCGCCGCCGACTTACGTGTAGCCGACTGCAGCCCTCCGCTTCCCCGGCGGAGCCGGGGCAGAGCGCGCGGGGCGCGGGGCGGGGCGGGGCGGGCCGCAGCGGCTTGCAGCGTCTTGAGCATCGCGGCGACCTGGCCAGCTCGGAGGGGCCCGAGCCCGCCGCACGAGGTGCGAATGCCCACTAAGGCGCCCACTATTTGTAATATACAACTGAAGGGTCGGGGAGACGTAATACCCGGGTACGGGGGACTCGGAAATCCCCGACGAGGTCGTCAAAAAAATGACGAGGCCGAGCCTGCATTTTGACGAGGCCTCCCGCTGCAGACATCCCACGAAACTCCTCCTCGTCAAAATCCGAGGCGCGGTCGTCAAAAAACGATGGCGAACCCGAGTCCTGGCAAACCCGGGTCTTACGCTCCCCCGAAAGGGGCCCCAGGACACTAAGATGCCCACTAAGATGCCCACTCGGATGCCCACTATATGCAATTCCGCGGGATGACGATTCATACAATGAACGGGAGAGAACGATTGAAAATCTAGTTTTCCGTTAATTCTGCACAGCTTTCTGCCTGGAGGGGAACGATTAGAAGAATTGTTTTCCAGCCCGCGGCCGGATTCTTCTAATCATCATCCCGGGCGCCGCCGCGTGAACACGACCCCCGGTCATGTATTAATCGTCATCCTCCATTATGTAAGATACAATGGAGGCCAGTCCACAAGAAGCCTTCCACAGGAAACCCAACCCTGAGACCCCAGGACGTCCATGGATCTGCGGTGTGGGAACGAAGCGCTCTCCACAACAGAACCATCGAAACCCAAGACACCCGGTGCACCCTGGAGGCAAGCCGGGTGTACCTTGGCATGGATCTGAACTGTAGACATGTCCCACCTCATGTCTAACGGTGCCAAGTGCAATGCTGTATCCGCACACCGCGCTTTCGTCAGAAGAACGCAACGTGTTGAAGGACGCCGTGATTCGCACGTCGCCGAGCTGCTCGACCACAGAAGATCAGAGGCCTCCTAGCTGGGGTCCGAGTAGATGGGATCGAAGGGTCGCGCCGCATCGCCAATGCATCGCCGATGTATCGGCGATGCATCGGCGATGCGCTGGCGACGTCGGCGATGCATCGGCGACGTGGGCGCGGAAAAGATCGGGCCCCACATCGAGCCGCACCGCTGATGCATCGGCGATGCGGTGCGGTCCTCCGACCCCATCCGCTCCGACCCCAACTAGGAGGCCTACAATGATGTAGCGTAAAACTCATCATCGATTGAGCCATGCTTGAGCAGGGACCGACCGTCCTGGCATTCCTATAGTCCTACCACGACATGTGCTTAGAACCCAAAACTGTTCGAATAACCAAAACAATGTTCTTAGAAAATAAACCCGATCTGTTCAAACAAGACAGACACCGCCAGAAATGTTGTAATAACAAAAAGTGCCAACCACCAAAGATCCACCAAAAGTTCTTAGAACATTGTCTGGTGGGGTTCTAGGCGGGCCAAGACGCTTCGCCACTGCTTGACTTACATCGAGGCTGGATGACTGGCGCCCGACGACAGCCGGCAGGTCGCGCCGGGGCGCGCCGCGTGTGCGCGCGCGCCGACGCGCGGCGCGCTGCCCCGCAAGAGCGTCGCTGTCCTTGGCCTCTGCCGGCGAGCTGCCAAGCAATCGAGCCTGGGCCGTTCCCGTCTGCGCTGGCTCCTTACCAGCCTCGAACGTATCCCTATCCCTAAGATTGACACACCAAAAAGCGATGACAATCTTAGGGATGCGCCCTCAAAAAATAAGGAAATCCCTATGATTGGCATCGTGATGAGGAGGTGCCCAGCATAGGGATAGGGATATGCTCCAGGCTGGAAAGCGCTGGCCAGCGGAGCCCCGGCGTCCAACATGCAAGTCTCAACTCGGACCTGCATCACTCGTCCTCCGAGACGCTGGGGCTGACGGGAACGGCACGTGATGAATGCACGGGGCCGTGGGTCCAGGCGATTGGCTGAGGTGGTCATCGCCGCGGTTAGCGTTGCAGCTTACTCTCAACATGCACCACAAGGCGTCCCGACCGCTAGGGCTGCGGTTTCCCCTTTGTCCTCGCCAAGGCAACCGAGCCCACAATACCAGCCAGTTGCTGGTTCCAATCTTCTCCCGCAAGATAGGCAGCCGAAGCGGAGCCATGGATCGCACCGCTCTGGGCTCTATACCACCGAGTCGCCTCAGCCCCAGATGATCCCATCTTTTTTACACACTGTAGACGCAGCTCAAAGAGGGGGATAAAATGCTGTGGCGCCTGTGACTCAGGAAGCGCGCGTGTGCGTGTTCACCGCAATGAACAGACAACAACAACACATTCGAAGCACGGCTGCCACTATGCATCCACAGGCACATGCAAGCACGCCATTGACCTGGATGTGATGGGGCTCCCTACATCTGAGCTGCAGCCTAGCAACCGTGACGATGCCATGTTCACCCTAGCCTCGAGTACACGACATCCGGATGATGTCCGCCAATGTCCAGCCGAACCTTCAATAAGACGGCAGACCACGATTATAAACACGACTATAACAACTCTGGCCATCGCTTGGACGTCCATGTCCTGTTTTTTTGGTTTCGTGCGTGTTTTTTCGCCAAATGATCAAGGATGTTTCTCGATGATCCTCGCCGAAGGAAAAATGCACACGTCCGAGCGATGCCAAGAACTCTTGGCGGCTGACCACATTCAAGCCGATATCATACTACCAAACTGATCCCGCTGTGTGCAACATACTCGCTGGGTAGCTCTGCAGACCCAGTCAGGGCATCGGCAGGATACGTCCGACGTGTACTCACTGGATCCAAACTGTGAGGGTCACGGCCACGGTCTGAAACCACTGGAGTTGCCCAAACTCATGGAAAGCATGAACAACAAACACTCTCCCTCACATGCTAGCTTGTTCAGAAGAGCAGCAAGCCTGACCTCCTTCGAGTCAACTGCGACGGACGCAAGCTTCTGCGGCCCCTGCCGACAGCACCACGCGGGCTTATGCATCAATACATTGCAGATGGAGACACGAGCGACGCTGCGTGGCGCCGAACGTGCGCGGCGGTGGCAGCAGACACTCTTTTCGAAACTTGCCCAGGTTGGGTTTTCAGACTAGAACCAGTACAAAGGCGACAGAGAGCGACCGGATGCGAGGCCGGACGCGTGAAGCTTGGTCGTGATTCTGCTGGCCTGGCTGCGGGCCAGCGGATTCACGCTGTACCAGGACTGAACGGGAAAGACGTGGGTATTCCTCCTCCTCCTCCTCCTCTTCCTCCTCTTCCTCCTGGAAATGATCAGGATGCGGGTGCTGATCTAACTCAAACCCGCTGCCCCCGACGAGCTTCCCCGCGGCTCCCGACAGCGCACGTCCCCCCGCGCCTGACTCGCGCGACCTTCGGGTGCGAGTTGATGGGGGGGCGATGCATGGAAAGGGGCGGGGGGGGGGGGGGGAAGGTGCCCTTCTCGGGGCCTGCAGGGCCCCATTCAGGGGCCCTCGAGGGCCAAATCAGGGGCCCTACAGAGCCCCTTTCTGCAGCCCTCGGTGCCCTCCAGCTGTCGCCCCCCCAATACGCGTCTTCCGAGGAACGTCCTTGGACGTTCCGCGGGCATCCGCCGAGGTGGGCGCGCTCTCTCTCTCTCTCTCGCTCTCTCTCTCTCTCTCTCGGAGGAGGAGGAGGAGGAGGAGGAGGAGGAGGAGGAGGAGGAGGAGGAGGGATGAGGAGGGGAGGGAGGGAGGAAGAAAAGGAGGAGGGAGGCTCTGCCTGGCTCCGGCCGTGCCCGCGACCTGGCCGAAGAGCGCACCCGCAGGTGTCGCTCAGCTCCGCGGCGCGGTGGGTCGGCACAGGCTCGGGACGGTGTCGCTTGGGGACTGGGTCGGCGGCGACGATAAGGGCGACTAGCCCAGGGGCGGGCATTGCACGTACTCGCCCGGGAGCCTTGTCGAAGACATCGATCATCGGCGCCCCTGGATACATGTATTGCTCTCCCCTGGGCTATTCGCCCCTATCGTCGCCTCCGACTGGGGCACGTGCAGCGGGCCGCGCCGAGACGTGGTGGGCGCGAACCGGCGGCGCGACACGATACAGTCGGACTTGATTGGACAGGACACGCGAGAGGACACGAGACCCTTCCGAGGGCCACGTCGCCACAGGAATGCAGGAGGCACGGGTCGCAGGACACAGGACACGGGGGTACCCTTGAACTGGCAGGGTCGACCTACTGATCCGGGCCGCCTGCAGCGTGTCGCGCCGAGACGTGGTGGGCGCGAACCGGCGGCGCGACACGATAAGCTTAGGTCGGGCCTGTCCCCCTACAGGGGGACTTTCGACGAACAAAAACACACTAAAACTGCACTAAAAATTACCAGCAATGCTCAACAAATAGTCCCCTGGCTATTTTTTGGCTATTTGGGAATCTTCCCCCTGTAGAGGGAAAGGCACGACTTAACGATAAACCAAAACTACGGACCGTGCCGCCCATCTCACCAAGCGCCTCCCGCGATTGGCACACCCGCTGGTGGAGGCTCCGCTGCTGGTGCTCTGCCCGGCCACTCTGCGTCTCCTCCTTCCCCCCCCCGGTCTCCGGAGGAAGCAGAGGAAGGGCGATAGGCAGGGAGCGCTGGAAGTGCAAGGAGGGAGAGAGGAGGAGGGCTGTCGAGGACGAGACAGAAGGAGCGCCAAAGGGGACGGGAGAGCGGAGGGAGGAGGGATCCACCCTCATCGTCATGGTCCGCGTGCCCCTCACAGTCTTGCTCCTCCATCTCCTCGTCGACGTCGTCGACCCCTTGTCTCGCGTCGTCCTCATGATTTATTTCGTATTCGCCTCCTTCCCCATCCTCCTCTTCATATTGCTCCTCCTTCTCCTGGCCGCTGGCCTTGGCAACGGCCGGAGCCGATGCGAGCGAGGAGAAGTATGACCCGAACACCTCTAGGGGGGAAGCGGATGCTGCCACGTGCGGCGCCGGGCTGCCATTGCCACCCTTGTCGACGTCATCGCCGTCGTGGCGTCGACGGTGTCGCCGCCGTCATTTGGTCGGCGCAGCCGCCGACGCCTCCAGCCGAGGTTCTCGTCGTCCTCTCCTTCGTCGATTGCTCCGTCGCCTTTGTCGCCGTCGCCGCCAGGGTCGGCCCTATAGGAAGAGGGGAAAGCGGGAGGAGGAAAAGGAGGAGGAGGAGGAGGAGGAGGAGGAGGAAGAGAAGCGAGAACGGGAAGAACGGCCTACAGCCACAGCCGCGCCTGCAGCCCAAAATTGAACGCAGGGCCGAGGGCGCCGTCGGCTGTGGCGTCGCGGATGGGCTCGGAAGCCTGGAGCTCAGAGTTCCGAGGATGTTTCACGCGAAGCATGCCTCCCACCCATCCTCCTCTCCCGCCTCCTCCTCCTCCTCCTCCTCCTCCTCCTCCTCCTCCTGCTGCTTCCCCTTCTCCTCCTTCTCCTCCTTCTCCTCCCACTTCCCTCCCTGGATGCTCTTCGGCAGAGTTCCGAGGGTATCCCACGCGAAATGGGTCAGACAACCTGACGACCTCGAGCCAGGGCATATCGGAGCCCAGCTCCGAGGATGGTCCACACGAAACGAGCCTGCTCCTCCTCCTCCTCCTCCTCCTCCTCCTCCTCCTTCTCTTCCTTTCCCCCCTCCCTAGATGCCTTCGCGAATTGTGGGGGCGCCCTAAGCGACGCGGGCATCTCGGAGGCCAGAGTTCCGAGGATGTCTTACGCGAGCTGGACCGGAACAAATAAAGAGCCGCATCTCACTGGGACCCAGAGTTGCGAGGATGTCCCTAGTGAAATGGGCCCGCGGACCGCCTTGCGATCGTTGTCGAAACCCCGCGTGATCTCACCCCGCGGGACCTCGGATGCTCCTCTTCCTCCTCCCCGTCCTCCTCCTCCTCCTCCTCCTCCTCCTCCTCCTCCTCCTCCTCCTCCTCTTCCTCCGACACTCCGTAAGAAAGCACGCCCCTAACTTCTTGAGCAAAGCCTCGAAGGAACAAACATGCTTGTTTCCGCCTCCCCCCTGCATAATACTAGCTGCCGCCGGCGTAGCGGGCGATTAATATTTGGGGTGGGTAGTTTTCTTGGGTGGGGGGGGCTACGTTGGGAACGATAACGGCGACGAGCAAATGTCTGGCGCAACGCAGGGACGACGCACGCAACGAAGAAGCATACGACGACACGACGGCGGCGAAAAGATGTCCGCAAGGGGGAAGCTGCCGCCACGCTGGGGAGAATAACACAACGAGGAGAGAGACGATGACGAAAATCCCTCGCAAAAACCCTGTTCCCATCGGGGGCGCCATTCCCCCCCCTCCGACCGGAGAGGACGAGACCATCCAAATTCCGGGGGGGCGCGTCATTGGCAAAGACGGAGGGGACTTGGAGGAAGAAGGAAATAAGTAGGAGGGTAGAAATGAGGACGATGCTGATGAAGAGGATGATGATGATGATGATGATGAGGAGGAGGAGGAGAAGGAGGAGGGGGAGGAGGACGAGGAGGAGGAGGAGGAGGAGGAGGAGGAGGAGAAGGAGGACGAGAGCGCAAGGGCAGAGGGACAGGGGGGCACGAGGAAGTGCAGACGGTGGTAGCCGCCGTTGTCGACGGCGTCGGCGCAACCGTCGGCGTCATCGTCGTTGTCGACGTCGACGCCGTCGGCGTGGTCGTCGTCGTCGTCGTCGTCGTCGTCGTCGTCGTCGTCGTCGTCGTCGTCGTCGTCGTCGTCGTCGTCGTCGTCGTCATCGGCGTCGTCGTTGTCGTCGCTGGCGACGTCGGCGCCGTCGCAGCCCGAGCCGAGAGATCGGGCGCGCGGGAGGCGCCTGGGGCTGTGGCCGGCAGGGGCTGGGCGCGTCCCCGCCGTCGTCGGGGGAGAGCAGGACCTTGACCTCCGCCCAGGGAGGTTTCCGGAAGGTTTTTGGGAGGTCTGTTTGAAAACAACTCTCCTCAGGAAGGTTTTTGGGAGGTTTTCGGGAGGTTTTTGGAAGGTTTTTGGGAGGTTATTGGGAGGTTTTTGGGAAGTTTTTGGGAGGTGTTTGGGAGGTTTTTGGAAGGTTTTTGGAAGGTTTTTGGGAAGTTTTTGGGAGGTTTGGGAGAACCTTCCAAAAAAAACTTCCTCAGGAAGGTTTTTGGGAGGTTTTTGGGAAAACCTTCCTGGAACCACCCTAAAACCTTCCGAGGGGCCCCGCGCGCAGGCTGCTGCCACCGGCACGCTCTGCCCTCGCCCCCCTCGGCCGCGGAACAGAATTGGGGCGCTCGGGCACACGCGGCCGCCGACGGGGCCCGAACTCCCACTGCCAGTTCGGCATGGAGCCCGTCTGCATGCCCGTTCGGCGGCCAAGCGGGGCTCAGGAGCCGAGCGGGCGCAGGCGAGAAGCCTGGGGGAAGGAGGGGGAGGAGGAGGAGGAGGAGGAGGAGGAGGAGGAAGGAGGAGAGGAGGAGGAGGAGGAGGAGGAGGAGGAGGAGGAGGAGGAGGAGGAGGAGGAGGGGAGAGGGAGGAGGAGCAGGAAAAGGAGGAGGAGGCGGAGGAGGAGGAGGAGGAGGAGGAGGACGAGGAGGAAAAGGAGGAGAAGGAGGAGGAGGAGGAGGAGGAGGAGGAGGGGGCTGGCTGACTGACTGGCTGGCTGACTGATTGGCTGGCTGACTGACTGGCTGACTGACCGACGGACCGGCGCGCACATCGGCGGGGAGGCCGTCCCGAGGCGGTGCGCGCGGCGGAGCCTCGGCCCCATCCGCACTGCGCTCTCTCGTGCGTGTGTTTTCGCAGCTGGTTCCAGCACGACGAACCACTACCAGCCTGGAGCATATCCCTATTCTTAGGCTGGGCATCGCCTCATCGCGATGCTAATCTTAGGGATCCCCTTAGTTTTTCAGGGCGCACCCCTAAGATTGTCATCGCCTCTTGGCGTGTCAATCTTAGGGATAGGGATAAGTTCGAGACTGGTGAAACCAGGTGGTGCACGTGCTCGTCACGTCGCGCCATCCCGACGCAGGTCACTCTGCGCGTCTTGCCCCTCCAGTGGGCCCCTCCTCCTGGGGGGGGGGAGGGGGAGACGAGTGCAAAAAAAAGAGGAGGAGGACGAGGAGGGGAAAAGGAGAAGAAGGAGAAGGAGGAGGAGGAGGAGGAGGAGGAGGAGGGAGGAGGGAGGAGCATCCAAATGTCTGCCTTCGCCTCTCTCACCGCGCGGCTTGCGGGAGTAGGGGCTGGCGGGCCGTCTGGGGGGGGGGGGGAGGGGGGGCGTCCACTGGAATCGGAGGAGGAGGAGGAGGAGGAGGAGGAGGAGGAGGAGGAGGAGGAGGAGGAGGAGGAGCAGCGAGCACATGGAGAGACGCGCCGAGGTCAAATTCGGGGGGATGAAAAATGCAGTGGGAACAGAAGAGAGGCGACATCAAACACATAAAAGAAGATGGGGCAGCCCGCAAGAGCCCAGCCGAAGCATCACTACAGCGAGCCGCTCCATCACATCTGGACAGGGAACCGTTGACCAGGCAAGACAAGAAGGCCAGGAGGGACGATCGAACACCAGCCCCTCAAAGCAGATGAAACCGAACGAATTGACTGTGAACCTGTGATAAATTCCGATGCAATCCCAGCCGCTGTACCGCAGGGTCTGAAACCAGAAGCCTACGGGGCATGGGGATGGGGTGTTTTCGGCCGTCACTGGGGTGACGGCCCGAAGCAAAGTTATCTCTGCGCCACCTCCGCTGGGGGGTGCCCACCAAACAACTGGGAACGGGCAGCTTTCTCAGAGAACGAGCCGCGCTTCGTGCAACCTATGATCTCCCCCGCCATGTGCAAGATGTGGCCCCTGGCGCCTCGGGCGGCACGAACCCGTCGGGCGGGAGCACCATGCTGGGAGGGACCGCCGTGGCCCAACTCGGGGTAGCGAGACGGAGGCACTTCCTCGAGCCTCCAAGAGCGGACGCGGCCTCACGCACCACTCCCTGCGGACGTGGCTCGAACCTAACCCGAGGTTTGGTCCGCCTCACGAAAGGCTCCGCCAACTCCCCAATCGGCCTGACCTTGCCCCTGGGCGCCTGGGCAACCTTGCAGGGAGGAGGAGGAGGCGGAGGAGGAGGGTCCTGAAGGCCCGAGAGAGGAGGAGGAGAAAGCTCCTCGGGGACCACGGGGGCCTGCAGGGCCTCCCACCGCGGGCACGCTCCCTCCTCTTGAGGAGGCTCTCTGGGGCGTTTCTTCCTCAGGTGCTGGTCGGCTTCAGGCCCCAAGGGGGCTGGCAAGGCTCTAGGGTCCACGCTACTAGGCTGAGGGAGATCGACCAGGCACACTTGCGCCATCATGCGCTTCCTGCCTGCGACGGATCGCGCGAAGCGCGGGCGAGTGGCACATTTCCAGCCACACAGCGCGAGCTATGGAGCGTGACGCTGCTGGTGGCGAAGGAGCGGCTCAGGAGGGCACCGCTCTCGCCGTACTCGACCTCGTCGCTGTCGCTGTTGCCGCCGAGCCTGGCGAGTGATCGTCGGCTCCCTGTCAGGACGTGCCTTCACCAGCTCCTGTGTATTGCCGATCCACGCCGCAAGCTGTCGCACTCGCTGCAAAAGGTCTCGGTGTCGGGCTCGAGCGGCAGGTGGAATATCATGATTGGCCAATCCTTTCTTGGCGGCTACGTCGGCATAATCATTGCCCTTAGTGCCGTGGTGGTGCCTGCTATCCTCCTGCGTCTGATGACTTTTCACATATTCGATAGTGAGCATGCCGCTCATTCCTCCGTGATCTTCCAATGCATGCCAGACTAACCGCCAAAGATCCACATGAGCACGTCGAGGGTGAAGGCACCACAGCTTGCCATTGTTGATCCAAACGATCGTCATCATGCAGTCGGCGCGGGTATGGAGCGGGAGTATGCCATTCTTGAGTGTCATGATGATAGCATATTGTTCAGCTCTCAGGGAGGAGGAGGAGGAGGAGGAGGAGGAGGAGGAGGAGGAGGAGGAGGAGGGGGAGGAGGAAGAGGAAGACGAGGAACGAGGAGGAGGAGGGGCGGGAAAGGGCACGCAGGGGGACAAGAAGGAGCAGGACGAGCTGGAGGGTGGGGGGAGGGAGAAGTTACGGAGAGGATGAGGAGGAGGATGAGGAGAAGGATGAGGAGGAGGATCGAGGAGGAACGAGGAGGAGGGAGGGAGAGAGAGGGAACAGAGTTTGATAAGGAAGACGAAGAGGAGGATCCAGGCCTTTTCACCGTTCTGGGATTGTGCAGCCTGCGAGAGAATCCTGGGACTTCTGCGACCTCCTGGGGCCACTGTGGGAGAGACGATGTAGGAGAGAGCAAACTGAAGAATGACAAGCTAGATTCTCTCGCGCCGTGTCTGGACATCCTCTCCTCCCGTCCATCCCTTCCCCTCTCGCCGGGCTGTTGTCTATCCGCGGACCTGGAACTCCCAACAAGCATCAATCGTGTTGTGTGCCATCGGAAAAGGGGGAGCGGCGTACATGGGCGGGACAGCAGGCGGAGGAGGAGGAGGAGGAGGAGGAGGAGGAGGAGGAGGACGAGGAGGAGGAGGAGGAGGAGGAGGCGGAGGAGGAGGAGGAGGAGGAGGAGGAGGGGGAGGAGGAGGAGGTGGCGGATCATCTCTCTTCATGGGCGGATTCTGCGAACATGGGGTCCGATGGCCCCTTGCCAATACCTTCCGCCTAAGAAGGCTTTGTTCCGATGCAGGCTTACACTGCCAGCTCAAAGGCTACATGGGCGTCGCAATCGTCTCGGGGAACTGGGCTTCTGGGACACGCCTCGGAGCCTCTGGGGAAGCCCCCAGTCTGACTCAGAACCTCTAGAAGGAGCCTCAAGACCTCGGGGAAAGGCCTCAGAGACTCCGAGGCTTCAGAACCTCTGGCCACGCGGTGTGTGGTCACCACGCCGGCGGGGGGCCCCCATTTGGCGGCGCGCGCAAGGAGATTTGGGGGAGGGAGGAATGCTCCATGGAAGGCAGCTGCTTCTCAGAAGGCGCCGGCCCCACATCTGTGGATGTGCGGCCCGCGCCTTCTGAGAGGAAGGGGTGCTTCCGAGCAGCCTCCTCCTCCTCCTCCTCCTCCTCCTCCTCCTCCTCCTCCTCCTCCTCCTCCGCACCCCCCCTCTGCGCGTGGCCGATGGGGGCCCCCGACGCTGGGAGGTCGGGTCGAACTCGGGCGGGACTTCATGTGGGGGTCATAAAAACGGGGGGATCGGAAGAGGTCCCCGTTCGTGCCCCTCTCGGGCCCCTCCAGAGCCCCAGGGGGCTCGTTTAGGTACTCCAGATTTCGTAATAAGAGGGAGGGGGTCTGGACCCTCCAGGACAAGCCATTTCAGACCTCCCCCGTTGGAGAACCCTCCAAAACATCGTCCCCAGACCCCCCAGGCCCTCCAAGATAGCCTGGAAGAGACCCCCCCCGAAATGAGACCCCCCTCCCTCTATTACGAAATCTGGAGTACCTTTTCGAACCGCCCTCGCCAAGCCCCCCTTTATGACCCCCCCACTACGCGGGCGCCAAACGAGCGGAGCAGGCCCCGAGCCGGGCGGTCCGGTCGGGTCTGGCGGGTCCCGAGCCTCGGGCGGCGGGGGCGTCTCTGGCCGGGCGGGCCCCGAGTCTCTTTGGACGCCCGACATGGGTACCGAAAAAATGGGTACGATGCCCAACAAGAAATGTTGTCCCAAACCAACAGCGGCCGCTGTTGGGCAGGCGGCCTTCTGTCTCAAATGTACACAGGCCGCGGCGGCATGGACAGCGAGTCCTGTTCCAAATGAACAGGAACTGCTGTTGGGCATTGTACCCATTCTTTCCGTACCCATCTCGGGCGTCCAGAGTCTCGGTCGCTCCGAGAAAGGGCGTGCCGGGAGGCGGGACCCAAGAAAAACAGACAATTGACGTTCCTTCCCGCCGATTTCGCCATCAAAG